TTTTCGATTTTAATTGGCTGAACAAATATGCATGATCGGGATCATCATTTCCTTATTTGGGACGTTCCTACCTGTACTTACAACCATCTTCGATGATGTACGTACACAAACTCTTAGTCAGCGTGATTGCACATCTCTCCTTTTTAGTTTTTGCGGGTATTTTCGGATTTGCTCTAAACTGTGCGCTTATTTTTTCGGGGTACTTTATGATTTAAGATGTGTATGTGGGTGTGCGATTGGGTATTGTGGTTGGGGATACTATGGTCAGCGTAGGAGATATAGGTTGCGCTATTTGAATGCCGTAGTAATATTTTATATATTCCAGGTTTAATTGGTCTATATTTAATGCCTGGGTATTTTACATTCCTGAGTGCGATTAATCTATCCTTAGTACCCGGTGTACTTTCATTCTAAGTCTTCGAAGATCGTAGGAGGTATTATAAAAGTGGAGTCTTTTAGTCCACACTGTGCGGTACTTTAATATGCAATGAAGTGCAGGTAGCAAAAAACATATATATTCGTACGTGAATGGGTCATTATATGTATTTTAATTTGCAAATATTAGTTGGTTTTAATTTAATTAGAATGTGTCTTTCATCTCGGTTTCTAACGAATATTTTAAACTTTGTTTGCATTTAAATTGTATGTATTGCTTTTTAATGTGCTGTTTACAATTCAATGGTAAGAAATCGAAACTATGCATATGTTTATTTATGGTTTAGGATACACCTGGTGTGAAATTAAGAAAATTTAAACATTTATGTATTGAGAGGCCTTGAAATTAAAAATAAGAAGAGGCATGTTTTACAAATAATATGAGTGCTGAAAATCTTATTTATATTTCAAAATTTGAGATTGAAAATATTTATTCTTCTTCATAAAATCAGTAAGCTTTTAATAACAAAGTCTAAAAAAAATACAATAAAATTAATACCATATTTGCACATAATAGTGGGCCGGGGTGTTATTTTGAGTAATCGCCGAATTAAGCTTAATTTAAGCCAAAATTCGAACTTACACCCCTGCGCATTATTATACACGAATATGGTATTATCACGTATGAATGTACTATTTATTTTTTAAAATTAAATCTTGGCTTTTATTCCTGAAACACCTAATGTTTGATTATTATTTTCTTCTTGTATTCCTTTTTCTTTTTTTTCCTTTATATTTTCGAACATCTAACTCTTCTAAACTTTTGTCTTCATCACTAGATTCCCTTTCTTCTTCGTCACTAAGTTTCTTTTCATCTTCAAGATTACACTCATTTTTTATGTTGCTTTCAATGTTTGGTTTAAATGTTTCTTTTCCTTTTTTATTTTGAGTATGTTCAATGCTAGTTACTTGTTCTTCCTTTGTAATTAAATAGATATAATCTTCCTGGTTAGGAGGTTTAGGTGTTAAGTTACGTTGTCTTTTTATTGCCCAGGGAGTGCTAGATTCGATTTCTTCAGCAATTAAGTCTATATCTGAACTGACATCAGGGATAGTTGTAGTGCCTTCTTGTTTATTATAATTAGTGTTAAAAGAATTTGTATAGTCAATATCAGTGGCCTCTATATAAATGATATCATTCTTTATACATTTAAAAAAACCGGATATGAGTAATGTGCAGCTAACTTTAATACCTGTACGGAAATAGTCAAATCTTGGAGCATAAGTAGGAAAAAGAATATTCATTTTCATAGGAACATTGTGGCTGTTAGTAATTGAATTATATTGGTAACATTCTGCACCAAAGTAAGTAGTATCTCTCAAATTTTTTGATTCACGTTTTACTGTTATAAAAAACATACAGTGTGGGATGCTAAGAGGAATTTCATCAGAAGTAAATTCTTGTTTAGGGTCTCCAACAGCAATAACTGTAATGTGACTAACAGTAATATACTGTTCTAAATTTTCGATTATAAATTTACCAGAAAACAAGACTATATCGCCTACTGAAAAGTCTGGACATGATTTTTGAAAAGGGTAAAAGTATTTCCAGTGGATGAATTGAAAATTATTTTCAGTAAGTTGATATTTAGCTATACCATGTGTAAGAGAGTTTGTGCTTTCTTTAGAAGTTATAATAACAACAAGAGTAGCATGCGAAGGCATTTAAATTTTAATTCTAAGAGATCTGTAAATAATAGTATAAAGGTAACTTTTTGTAAGTTTATAAAAAACATTATGCATAGTAATTATAATTATTAACAGTTTTGTCAGCTTAGTTGTAACAATATTTTTTATATAACTAAGTTAACTTAATAAGTAAACTATTACATTTTTATTTTCTTGCATACTGTATATAATATAAATTTGTTAGATTATGTAATTCTGAAATTACTTGCCGTATATTGTCTTGAATTCAATAAATTCTGAACTTTCATATGGTATTTGAGTACTGCAAAACGATGACATAGCCTTTAAGGCTTATTTATTATCAGAGGTTTTTTTTTATAAAGGGCTTAAACATTTATTAGAAATTTTGCTATTTATAAAAATTTATATTTATAGAGATTTTTCAGATTTTACAAATTTCACAAGTTTTGTCAATTTTACCAGAGGTTTTGTTATTTAAGGGGAATGTTTTGTCTTTTGTAATTTTGCAAAAAGGTTTTATTTAACAGCATTAAGCAGTGCTTATTTATATATTTGCTATGCGCCACATATGATTTTTTTGTGCTATGTTAATAAAATGTAAATATTTGTTACAGCCGATGTTAATTTTTAACAATAATTAGCATTAAGAATATATAGTGTAAAAGTGTAACGATTAACGAATATCTAAATTAAAAGTGAAGTTAATAATATATCAAAAAAAAAAAAAAGATAGAGAAAAAATTAACCAACTAAACGATTTAAAAAGATAATTATTTAATTTTATTTTTAAGTTTATTTAGTCATGATTGTTAGTATATTACAGGTTTTTTTGCTAATAATAAAAAAAAAATATTACAGGTTTTTTAAATATTATACAACAATTACTTCAATAATTATATATTATAACAAAATCGAGTATTGGGTTAAAAGTTAAAAATAAATAAGAAAGCTTTAATTATTAAAAAAAGTCTAAATACCTTAAGATTCATGACTACCAAAATTATACAATTAGTTTAAAAAGCATTATTTTTTAGAGTAAAATATAGTATCTAAATAATAATTAACCTCTTTTATTTACGAATCTCTTTGATTTTAACATCTTGGCCATGATATTTATTAAGCAAAGCCTCTGTTGCTCACGTAGTGTCTTAAAAACCATAAAAAAATATAGTTTTGTCTCGATAAAAGAATAACTTACAGGTTATTAAAATTAATACATTAATAAAAGTTATCTTAATTAAACTTTTTTGTAAAAGTTTTATTAAAATAAATTAATACTGAATAACTCCTGGTAATTGTCGAGTTTATAAATAAGAATTATCATTTTAATTCTATAACAATAATTAACTAAATGCTAAACTTGATACTGTATTACATTTTTACTAGAATTTTTCTATTTACTAATTTATACACCATGACCAATATTAAAACCAAAAGAGAATTAAAAACCGTGAGCGAAAAACTGTTGAACATGCTAATTTAGATTTTAGAATATCTGAAAATTATAAATTAAAACAACGTATAACAAAGCTTCGTCATAATCAAGAATATGTTCAAATGTATAATGCTATACAAAATAATCAACGAAAAAAAAGAAAAATTAATACACATCTTTTAAGAGATAGTCAAGCAGAAGCAGCTAATATTCCTTTACATATTTTGGAGTTGAATGAAGCTTTTGAAACTACAATTAAAGAACATATTTCATGGCCTCCTGAAGTTGATTTAGAAATATCAAAAAGTAGTTTAGCAGAATTTCGGGATAAAATTGATCTTGATAATTTAAAAGAATTACCATATGCTATTTGTTCTGAGCTTTATATTAAAAAAAATTACAGTAGATAAAATATAAAATTTCGTCAAAATTACTACAATATATTAGTAATATTGTTCATAAAGATATTAGTTATCTTCTGAAAGAAGGTGAAATTTTAACTGATGAAATGCTTAAATCTGAATATATAACTCCTAAAACCATGCAAAAAAAAAGAATGCATCCATCTTTTTTTCTAATTCTAGATCCAAAATTACCAGATTTTGCTGAAAAATTTCGATTAGATTTACTTGCAATAATTAAGCATACACTTTTATATTGTTGTACTAAAACATGCAAAAAATATAATCGTGGATTACAAAAACAATGCAGATTTGATTTTTCAAGAGAATTAGTAAAGCCTCCTGGTTTAGTTTTTCCTGAACAAGGAATAATAGCTGTTTCATGTACTAATGCCTTTATTAATAACCACAATCCTTTTATAACATCAGCATATCATGGAAATAATGATATAAAATTTATTTCAGCACGAAAACTTGCCTTAGCTTATATTTATTATATTACAAATTATATTACCAAAACTGATCCCAACACTCACAATTCATTTTTAATATGTGCTATGACTTTAGAAAATTTTTTAGTATCTGATAATTCTTCTTTTAATTATATAGAAAAATCACGTATTATTATAACAAAATGCTTAAATAAAATAGCAGGTCAAACTGAACTCACTGGTCCACAAATTTTAGCATATTTGTTAGGAATTGATGATCATTATACTCCTTGTAAATTTGCATCTATATACCTTCAATCATTTGAATATTTTATTATTAAAGAATATGAAAAAGAGCAACAAAATATATTAGAAAATATTGAATATAATTTAAATGAAATTTATGAAAATTATGAACCAAATGAACAAGATTCATCTGAATCTTTATTAATATCTTCATTAAATGGTAAATTAACAGCATCAAATCTTCAAATTAATTATCAATTTTGAAATTATACATTACATAATATTTGTCTTTATGATTATATTGCTACTATTCAAAAAATTCCAATCAATTCTTATGAACCTTCTATGTTAACTACACAAAATTCAAGAGAAGAAAATGCTTGTGTTGATCGATTTTTATTTTGTGGTAGTAAATATGATTATTTACAAAATCAAACAAATAATAATATTCATCCACAATGTGATACTCATATTCAAATACACAGAAAACTTGGAACAGAAAGAGTAGTTATGATACATGGTAAAAATATTCCAAAAAAAAATGATATTGAAAATGCTGAACGTTATGGAATATGTATTCTTATACTTTTTAAACCATGGGTATCAGTTTATGATCTTCGAGAACATTATTATACTTGGTCTGAAGCTTGTGATGCTTTCCTCAGTAGCTCTATATTATCACCTCATTTAAAATTTATAATTAACAATATAGAACTATTATATCACTGTTCAGAAGAAGCTAAATTAGATCAAGAACTAAAACAAAAAGCTAAAAAAAATTTTATATTTGCAAAAGCACAACGTATTAATCGTTCAGTACCTGGATATGATGCTGATGAAGATTTAGATTTGTTTGATTATTATGATGATATAATAACAAATAATACTATTGAATATGTAACTAATTTTAATTTAGCTAAAATTATTAAATCTGGGTTAAAAGATATTAATATTGTTAATGAAGCTATGAATTTTTTATATATTCGTGAAAGATTTAATACAAATAATTTTGAATCTAATGTTAATGAAAACAAAAATATTATTAATAACTTTAACCAATTTAATAAAAATTTAATATTTAATGAAAAAGATATACGTATAAGTAATAACTATGATAATGAACTTATTAAAGAATGGCAAGAAACAATTATTTCTCGAAAAAAAATATTAACAACTAATAATGATAATGAATTAGATGATAATTTATTAAATATTTATATAGAGCAATCTCATAATAGTTGTAATAATATGGCTAATAAAGCTGGAATTATAAAAAATTATTCAGATCTTTAGAAAATCTTGCTGTTAAACTAAATGATGAGCAAAAAAAAGCTTACTTTCTTTATGTGATCATTGTCGAAGAAATCAACAAAATAGTAGTAATAAACTATCTCAACTATTACTTTATCTTACTGGTGCAGGAGGAACTGGCAAATCTAAAGTTATAGAATTAATAAAATATAATAAATAATCATTTACATTATTAAATTAATCTATCTGTATATGTTATTAGCAAATTTATATATGTACTTTATATAAAGTTTTAATAATCCTTAGTTATTTTACATATTATTTAATATAATAATATAAAGCTTATCAAAAAATAGTGTTGCTATTAAGTATGCACTATATAGTAAAAACAGTTTAATTTTTTTATATAATAATAATATATTAATTTTTTAATTAAAATAACTGTTTAATTAAAGCACTCTATTGTAAATATATAGTAATATAATAATCAACATGTATATAATATATGTATAATATGTGTAATGATCAATATATAATTTTATTTACACATATATCAGCCAATCAAATATTATTTTTGTCTTCTATTGTTTATTTTATAGTGTTTATCTCTTAATTGTTTATCTATTTATAACAAATTATATGAAAAAATTACAAAATTAGGTGTTAAACAATTTTACTTAAGATATCTACATATAGTTACCTTAGTAAAATTTTAAAATATTAAAGATTTTTTATTTTTTCTATTATCAAATATTATACTTACTGAATACCAATAGTAATTTTCTAATTTTATATAATATTCTATACAA